GAGGCCGGCTGCTGTCCTTGAAAAGCGGGTCCACGGGGAAGACAGAGCCCAGAGCCACGTTGTACCCGTGCCGCTGTGCCTGCTGCCGCATTCGCTTGGTGTACCACCCATGGCCCTGGAGGTGGGACGAGGAGGGGGGGGGTAATGAGGAAGATGTGTGGTGGAGGCAAGATGGGCGTGTGAGGGAAACGCATGGGAGCTGTGCCGCTGCGCCTGTTGCCGCATTCTCTTGGTGTACCACCCATGGCCCTGGAGGCGGGGTAGGGGGAGAGAAGAGGGTTGACAGGGTTGCCTCCGGGGTCCCTTCGCAAGTACCGGAGTCCACTGGCAGCAGAGACGACTCAAACAAGAAGTAGGCGCCTAGCATAGCAAGGCTGACAGCAAAACTAACCGGTCTGAACCACTTGACAAAGTTGCCCCCGGAATCTCTTCGGTAGTAGCGGAGCAGCTTGGCGTCCACTGGCAACAGCGAGCGACGAGACGACTCAAACAAGAAGTAGGCGCCGTCTAGCTGACAGCAAAACTAGCCGCCTGTAACCACTTGACAGGGTTGTCCCCTGCGTCTGTACGGAGGTATCGGTGCAGCTTGGCATCCGCCGCCAGCAGTGAGGAGGATTCAAACATGAAGGCACGCAATCCATACAGACCCACCGGTTGAGATTACTTGACGGAACAGTCTAAACCGCTTGACTGACCGGTCGGAACCACTTGACAGGGCTGCCCGCAGCATCTCTCCGGAAGTAGCGGTGCAGCTTGGCGTCTACCGCCAGCAACGACGACTCAAACTCGCCGGCAGACAGGCGCCAGCTGGGCTCGTCTTGTGTCATGTGGTTGCCCACCTCGTGACCTGGATAGGGGGGAGGGAAGGAGAGGGAGAGGCAGAGGGAAACAGATGAGCAGAGGTAGGGAGGGCTGACAGGCGCCAGCTGGGCTCGTCTTGTGTCATGTGGTTGCCCACCTCGTGGCCTGATGATGAGGGTGAGGGGGGGAGATGGAGGTTAGGGAGAAATGGGGAGCTCAAGGTATGAATCAAGTATTGGTCAGGAAGTGAGCAGAGGAGGCAGCAGGCGCAGAGCAACCAGAAGGACCGTGCGTGCGCACCTTCAGCGTGCATGCGATCCAATATGCTGGGGTATCGGTCGATGTTGTAATGAGGTGAGTGAGAACAAATCACCTGCAAAAGCCACCTCGTTCCAATGCCACATGACAACACACTACGCACCTTCAGCGTGCATGCGATCCACTATGCTGGGGTATCGGTCGATGTTGTAATGAGGTGAGTGAGAACAAATCACCTGCAAAAGCCACCTCGTTCCAATGCCACATGACAACACACTACGCACCTTCAGCGTGCATGCGATCCACTATGCTGGGGTATCGGTCGATGTTGTAATGAGGTGAGTGAGAACAAATCACCTGCAAAAGCCACCTCGTTCCAATGCCACATGACAACACACTACGCACCTTCAGCGTGCATGCGATCCACTATGCTGGGGTATCGGTCGATGTTGTAATGAGGTGAGTGAGAACAAATCACCTGCAAAAGCCACCTCGTTCCAATGCCACATGACAACACACTACGCACCTTCAGCGTGCATGCGATCCACTATGCTGGGGTATCGGTCGATGTTGTAATGAGGTGAGTGAGAACAAATCACCTGCAAAAGCCACCTCGTTCCAATGCCACATGACAACACACTACGCACCTTCAGCGTGCATGCGATCCACTATGCTGGGGTATCGGTCGATGTTGTAATGAGGTGAGTGAGAACAAATCACCTGCAAAAGCCACCTCGTTCCAATGCCACATGACAACACACTACGCACCTTCAGCGTGCATGCGATCCACTATGCTGGGGTATCGGTCGATGTTGTAATGAGGTGAGTGAGAACAAATCACCTGCAAAAGCCACCTCGTTCCAATGCCACATGACAACACACTACGCACCTTCAGCGTGCATGCGATCCACTATGCTGGGGTATCGGTCGATGTTTGATCCAATCACAAAGAACGTCGCCGTGCACCCGTGCTCCTTGAGAATGTCTAGCAGCTGAGAGAATCCGTGGCATGAGCGGCAAGGGAGAAAGGGATTGTGAGGATAGGATCAAGAACAATGCAGTCCTGCCGTGCACCCGAGGTCCCTTGACATATACAACTATTGAGTATTTTTAGTGCTTAGTTTTTTTCGATAGACGTATGCAGAACACGAACTACTTCTATTGTTTGTTACTGAGGTTCTTTCACAAGAACCTCCATACGTATTCTGAAAAGTTTCAAGATGGGCGCGCAAAGTATTGCAATGTGTTGTCATACTAGTTGAGTCAATAATGGTACCTCATGGGTCGTGTCTCCGTTCGGCCCATCGTCAATCGTCAGAGCAACCAGGCGATCTGATTAGTCAACAGAATAGGGAGGGATCAGCAGGATGGGTGGATGGAGTGATGGGGGGATGAGGTGCATCATGCATGGTAGTGGATGACAGGGAAGGTGAGCGAGTGGGAAGGTGGGTAAGATGGATGTGAGAGTGAGGGTGGAAAAACCTCTCCAACCTCTTTTTGTACCATATATTGTGGAGTGATGTGTACCCTTGATGACAGGTCGTGTACTCTTGTTGACAGGTACTCCTAGTGACGTGTACACTTGGTGACGTGTACCCTTTAGTGACGTGCACCTTTGGTGACGTGTACCTTTGGTGACGTGTACCTTTGGTGACGTGTTCGAAGAGTATGTGTGGCTGGTTGTGCCGCACCCAGGTGATGATCCACCGCGGCTGAAACAGCACCCTGCACCCGGCGCACACGGGTCGTGGAAGATTGCACAGGGACAGGAAAGTTCGGTAAAGCATCCCACTTGATGCCATGACATTCCATGACAGGTAATCCCGATAATTGGGTAAACCTACATGCATGAGAGCAACGTGACGAGTAACTACACTCGCCTCCCTTGTTTCACTTCCAACAAGCAACCTTCAAACTCACCCCACGGCGATGAACAGCGCGAAGCCTAGCCCCAGCGCGCCAGCAGCGGCGGTGGCGGCAATGAGGGCGCTAGCGGGCGTGACTCCCACCAGCGACGGGAGGAGCACCTCCCACTCCACGCCGCTGCCGCTCATTGCCGACGTTGTAGCGAGCGGAGGAGCCTGGGTGACGGTAGCGAGAGGTATGGCCGAAGCTGTAGAGAGTGAGGTTGGTAACGCTGTGGCGTGAGGAAGGACAATCTCCTGGAAAGACGCGGAGGGAGCAGCGAGCGCGGGTGAGCACCAGACGACCAGAGCGAATAGCGTTGATGCTGCTGCAGCGGCAGCGGCGGCGGCGGCGGCTGCAACGGCAGTGGCGGTAGTGGCGGGGACGAATTCGTCTGCGACAGGAATTCGAGGTAGGGCGCTTCCAACAGGAGGCGTTGCGACGGGGCGTGCTCGGGGCGAAAAGCTGGCGACGGATCGAGCGACGGATGCGACCGATGTTATTGCAGATTTTGCAGGAGGTGAGCGGCGGGAATTCTCGCCGAACCCGTAAGAACGAGCGGAAGGATCGGCGGGAACGAATTTGCGAGGCGGGATGAACTTGAGGAGAGGCAATGGCGAGCGCCGTGTAGGCTTGAATATGGCAGGAGTGGAGAGTAGAGGAGAGGGAACAGCGTAAGGACGTGACGCGTGGTCTAGTCGTATGCAATTGGGGATGCGACGGTTCACGCGAAAGGCTGCAGCACAGGTAATAGACGGTGGGCGACAACGATGGTCTGCGAGTGCGACGGGTGCGACTGGCCGTGCGACGACACCGCCTGCTCGCATGAGGCCAGCGACACGCACGCGTCGTGGAGAGCAAATGAGGCGAGGAGAGGCGAAGGATGTGAGCAATGAGGTGAGGGGAGGCAGTAAGGGCGTGTCTGAAGTGCAAACGTCGAGTTTCGTCAAATTTTGTCGACGAAACTCATCCGTGGGACCCACGCGTGTTGGTGTCTGAAGTGCAGCCTGACATCCCTCGACGAAACTCGACGTTCGTGCACATGTCGAGGGATGTCGAACAGTGATACCGGGCAGCTGTTTGAGTCACTGTAGTCAGTGAGTGTTTCAAAAACAATTCTTCGACACGCCATGTCTGCATAGCTGTGGCAAACACACGTGAATAAGAACTAAGACGAGAGCGACACGTGCTAGAGAAATTTCGCTGGCAATGTGACAGTAGAATATCCGGTGTTACCAGCAACAATCTATGCTAAGCGAAATTCGCGATATTGCAAACAATTGAGTTACATGAATGATTCTGTTAATTCCACGTCGAATTTTCATGGGCAACTTATAACAGTGTTCCTATGGCACGTGTGGGTTATTTTGTCGTGTGGGTGTCTGAAGTGAGCACAGCTGAAAACGGATGTCGAGTTTCGTCAAGGAACGTCGACGAAAGTTTCGTCGGCAAACGTCGAAATTCACTTCAGACACGCCCTAAGGGGTGGCTGGCTTCCTCTTGGAGATCAACGCGCGTGTCTAGTCAAACGAAGCCAAACAGCCGTGCTCAGAGGGCATCAGCCAGCAGCCCATCCATCAGCCCCATCGCCCATCAAGCAGAGCCCCAGCTTTTCTCATTTGACGAATATGCCTTGCCAACCAATCAACGGAGGACATGTTGAGAGATATCGGTTGAGAGGAGTGAGCTTAGGTTGGGGGACGAATTTGAGGGGGAGGGCGTGGAGTGGTTTGGGGGTGCTGGTGGTGACGAAATGCTGACGAGAGGTATGGTGGCTGTGATAAAGCATGAGGCACAGAGGACAACGCGCCTTCGCCAATCTGCACAGTAACATTATTGTTACAACGAAGCCAATAATCCACCAAGCCATCTACAAGTAACTTAACCAGATAACAACCTTAGCCCTTCCAGCTCCATCCATGCAGGTTCCAACCTTATCCGCAGTTGCACCTGCCTGATGCCAGTCAGAATCAGAAAAATGTGCCCCGTGATGTTTCTACATAGTTGTTGCTCGACATCAATTTTAAGCCGCCACTCTAGCTGAGCTTGGCATGTGCCTCGTGCAACTTCTCCAGCAGCACTTCACTCATCTTACTGCACCCCACCACCTCCTGCAAGAAGAGAAAACGTGCCAAGGAGAGTGAGCTGCAATGCTGGACGTGGACATTGATGCTCTGCTAAGAAAAAAACCAGATGAAACTTCAACAAAGGATAAGCAGTTGAAAAAGAAAAAAGGGATACACTTCAAGGAAGTTGTGAAATAAAAAGGTTACTGAAACTTACCATGCCGGGAGAAGCAATGTCACCAGTCCTGTAGCCTGCCTCCAGGGTACTCATGACAGCAGCCTCCAATAGGTCAGCGCCACGTGGCAGGTTGAGCCCGTAACGCAGCATCATGGCAGCTGAGAGCACCTGAGCCATCGGGTTCGCCTTGTCTTGCCCCGCAATGTCTGGTGCTGACCCATGCACCGGCTCATAGATGCCCGGGCCCTGAGGGGTGGTGAATGAGTGGGAAGAGGGGAGGGGGTAAGAGCAGAAGAGAAAGAGAGATGACATGATTTGCGAGACTGGGGAGCGGAACAGGGAGAGTGGAAGTAACTGTTTGGCAGTCGTACGAAGTGATTCTTTGCAAGGAAGTCCTGAGCCACGTTGTCCAGTCATGCCATCTCCCCACCACCTCCCCCAACAGCCCCTCCCCTCCCCTCTCCTCAGACTCACATCAGAACCAATGCTGGCGGAGGGCAGCATGCCGATCGACCCCGTGAGCATGGACGCCTCGTCCGACAGAATATCCCCAAAGATGTTGCCGGTGACGATGGTGTCAAACTGGCGCGGGTTCCGAATCAGCTGCATGGCGGCGTTGTCCACATACATGTGCGACAGCTCCACATCCGGGTACTCCTCCGCCCCGATGGCCGTCACGCGCTCGCGCCACAGCTGCGACACCTCCAGCACGTTCGACTTCTCCACGGAGCACAGCCGCCCGCTGCGCTTGCGCGCCGCCTCAAAGCCCACCCGGGCGATGCGGTCGATCTGACCCAGGGAGGAGGAGGAGGAGCGGGGGCAGATTGGGAAGGGGGGAAGGGGAAGGGGAGGGGAAGGGGAAAGGGAAAGGGGGGGGGGAGAGGGGAAGAGCATGGATGGGAGTCATCTCAGGTGTCTTGGAGTGAGCTCCACGTCCGGGTACTCCTTGGCCCCGATGGCCGCCACGCGCTCGCGCCACAGCTGCGACACCTCCAGCACGTTCTACTTCTCCACCGAGCACAGCCGCCCGCTGCGCTTGCGCGCCGCCTCAAACCCCACCCGCGCTATGCGGTCGATCTGGGAAGCTCATACGGCAACATGGGGAGGAGAGAATGGGGGATGGGTGTGCGGGAGAGTGAACAGAAGTGGTGAGCAGAGATTAAGTACTAAAAAGAATGAAAGGGGCTAGCATGGAGGGCAAGAGGTGGGGGGTGGAAACTGGGATGAAGAGGCCGAAGTGGCAGGATATGGGAGGGGGGAGAATTCAAGGAATATCTGTGGGAGACATACCTCAGGGGCAGAGTAGATCATGGTGTTGAAGCCTGTCCTGTTGCCCTCTGCATCGTGCCCAAAGCCCTTGGGCTCTCCGAAGTAGATTCCTGCAGCAAGCAAAGCCATGAAGGGAATTAGGCAGCTTAGAATGATCGCCTTCCCATCATGCTGCTCCTATAATCTCAGGCCGGATCCTGGCCCCCGCATCCCATCCCTTCACTTCACTTCACTACCATTTCCTCGCCTCACTTCCATTTCACTCAATTTACTTCCATTTTCTTCGGCCCAATTCCAATTCCTGTGCCCTTCCATCTCATTCGCCTCACACGTGACTCACCGCCCGTCAGTTCGCGCACCGCCATGATGTCAACCCCCTCCACCACCTCATTTCCAATTCCTTGGCCCCACTACCATTTCATTCGCCTCATTTCCATTTGCTTGCTACACCCCACGCCACGACTCACCGCCCGTCAGCTCGCGAATCACCATGATGTCAACCCCCTCCACCACCTCGCGCTTCAACGACGACGCCTCGATCAGCTGCGGGAGGCGTGGAGATAAAATGAGGGGAAGTGGACGGGGTTTGTGAACCAGGGGAGAGGAGGCATGGCAACCAGGGCGACGACGCATGCCAGGCAGCAGGCATACCACGATGGAGGATCCGAAGAAGAGATACGTTCCTTGCACCAGGAGGAGAGCAGAAGGCGATTACGAAAGTCCTAGCCGTTCCTTGACACAGCGAGTAAACCAGCTCAACAAGCGTGCTGGTGCAACTCGTGCAATGCAACTGGCACAGAGACCGCAGCCACTCTGTTACTATATGCCGCCGCACCCGAGAGACGCACGTGGCGACTGGACTAAAAAATGAATCATGCGCGTCAGCGCAAAGCGTGCGATGCTACTAGTCCGGGCCAACTACCAGTCTGTTCGAACAAAATGCTGCACCTGGGGGAAGACGACTTCAAAAGCACCTCGAAACTGCACCTATCCTGCACCGCTACCGGTCTGTTCGGGAATATCGCCGCACCTGGGGGAAGACGGTGGCGGGGCGCAGATTAGCGAAAGCGCCGAGACCCGCGCGCAGCCCAAGCAGCCCGCGCTCAGGGCGGAGATCTGCGGGCAGGGTGTCCCACTTGTACCTGCGGAGCGGGCGTGGCCGATTGGAGCAATGCGGGGGGTGTCAAGGGAAAGAGAGTTGGAAGGTAGTGATGGGGCTGTAACTGAAAAAAACACCAGTCAGGAGAATTAGCAACGACGGGACATCCGGAACGCCTTACTTTTCCTGGTCTATTGTTGCTGCATTGATACACTTCTACCTTTACAAGCGAACAACGGGCTATTCGTGGCTCCACCCACCCTCCAATGGCAGCGAGCAGTACGGCATCGCTGTCGCGGCACGTGGCGAGGGTTGATTCGGGCAGAGGCACGCCGAATTCGTCGATGGCCGCACCTCCGACCAGCGCCTCCTGGAACTCAAAAGTGATGCCTTCCAGTTCGCCGAGAGCCTTGAGCAGCTTCACAGCCACTGCCATGATCTCAGGGCCGATTCCGTCGCCCGGCAACAGCGTGATGCGACACTTCTTCGTCTCACCATCGCCCGCCGCCGCCATCACTGGCTGTCGTCTGCGACTGCTGCTCCCATTCGCACAAGTCCTGCGACGGTTAGCGACAGACTTGCGGCTGTGGGGGACCGCGGATAGACCGTTCGACTTCACGGACTTGGCGAAGGCCTTTAGGGAGGACGACTCTCCCTCTGCAGAAGAAAGTTGCGCGGCGGTGAAATGCGCGCAGACCAACGAGCGAGCAGTCGCAGTCGCCATGGAGGAAGGAGGGATGCAGCAGATCACTCTGGTCAACGAAGTTGATGGCAGGGAAATGTGGAAAGAGAAACCCTCAGCCCTGCGAAATGCAGCTCAACGCAAAATGGGAAGGTGGAGGGAGGTCAGGCGCGAAAGGCGAACTGCAAGAGAGGAGGTTGCGAAATCTGACCAGCAGGGCGGACTTTGGTGGGACGACATTGACGTGACAATGTGCCAGCGTTGCGGGAGCCAATAACAGCCACGCTTTGATGAGATGTTGCTAGGTGGAGCCACGTCGGCCAAATGAAACTTTAGACAACTGCTACACTTTAAAAAATCATATGGCTTTAGTAAGCTAAGCTTCATCCACCTCAAAATCCTCCTCCTGTGGAGCAACAAAGAACTCTACAAATGATGTTCTCGCACTCCTATTCTGCTGAGTTTGGCTCCTAGCCCCATCCTGGGTTGGCTGAGAAAATGCAGGAAGACTGCCCACACCAAATGCATCTGGAGCATCATTAGCATTTCTTCCACTAGGCCCAGTGGCTCGCATGTTCACAACATGCTGCACTCGCAAGAGGCCATGACGGTCAATCGTCAGCTTACTTGCATGGTTTTCCTTTAGAACAGCAGCAGGTATGCTAGCAGTTGCAGCACTGAGATGCTTGTACCGATACCTGCACAGCAGGCGATGGAAGGTTCAGCTGTGGCTAACACTGGAGAAACAATCCAGAAACATAATTCTCACAGGAAGGAAACGGGCCGGTGACATTTGAAGTCAACAAAAAGATTGCTGCATCGCCCAACAAGAAGATCAACCTGGAAAGAACGAAACGTTAAATGCCAAAAGTAATGGATTGGAAAATGGCACAGCCATATAGAAAAGTAGGTATGTCAAACAAAGTGTGGCTTTCATCGATCACTCCATGTTGCTGACCTGTAAGTCACCATGACCTTGAGCCAGAAAAGTCACTCCTGCTGGCTGGGGGCTGATGGAGATTCGAACACTGGCACCAGGCCATTCCAGATCTTCAATTAACTCCTTCAGAACGCTCGACTGGGAATAACATAAGGAAAACCGTGAAAAGGAAGTTTGTGAAGAGACAAGGATATGCTGCAGAAAACGACTCACTCGAATTGCAAAGCTGACAGGTGCGTTTTGTGGAGT